AACTCCCGTTGAGCCGCGTACTTGCCACAGATACCACAGAGTAGCGGCCTCTGTGGCAGATGCCGGAAGTACTTGCCACTGCCTGCAGATGCCACGAATTGCGCTTGCTGTCTCTCCAAAATTCCATGCTCATAAAATGCTCATATATTTTTTTCTCTTCATTCTCCACGCCCCAAAATAAATAAATATACAAATATACCAATTTTAGGAAAAGTAAGGAAGTTTGAGCAGTGTGGGTTTTATATGAACAGAGTTTCACATATTTCAAAACGTGAAGTGTAATAACTGCAGTTTCCTCCCTGTCAGAATGACAAAGATCCTCAGTGAAGCTCAAGCCCATGTTTCACTACATTGAGTACAACTTATTAAAAAGATCAGTTCAATGCAACTAATGTCGTCTTAGTGTTATTGCTTGATGTTAAAATTGGTTTGCCATGAATTTAGTGATGGATTGTAAACATTTGAAATGTAGCATTTAAGTGTTTCTCAGTTACAATGTTGTTGTTTTAATAAATCAGACACTGATGGTGCGGCGCTGTGCTGTACCTCTTTATATAGGCTTTTCTTCCCTAACAAATAGTTTTTGCGCTGATCAGGGGGTACTTGGCTGAACCACTGAGCTAGAGAGACCACACCTTTAGCTATTTAATATAGCCTAGTTGTAAAAGATAAAGTAAGAAATCATTCCAATATGTATTGGACAGTAAACACTTTAAAAGGGGAGTGATTAGTAAAATATGCATAAATAAAAAGAAAGAATGCTAACTAAGAACAATCTTAATAAGATAATAATAATAAACAAGTTTAAATGATTTCTTATTGGTTGTGATCATATTCTAAAGATGTTTGAATATTGAAAAGTATACAGCTCTCTTTTATAGAGTGTTGAGAGATGAATCCATAAATTCATTTTGTGCTCAAAGTGCACCAGATTGATGCATTTAACTTAATGTAAAAAATCATACGTTTTCTTTTAGTAAACACTGAAAACGGGTCCCACAGACCCAAACAGCACACAACAATTAAAGGTAAGCATATAATAATCTTAAAATGTAATAAATATATACACTGCAAAAAAACAAAAAGAGGAGTAAAAGTAGCTCACGACTTGTTTTATTTTTTGAAAGTAGCCCTCACCCTAAAAAAGGTTGGAGACCCCTGTTATAGAACGATACATTTGACAATTTTAAGCTTGGCCTACCATTTTATTGGAGCGATGAGGAACAGGTGGGGCTTGAAAAGGCCCACCTGTTCAAAGCGGGGAATGACAGAAAAAGTTTGAGAACCACTGATGTAGACCAGTATGCTCCAGGAAGTCGGAAAAGGTTTTCCAGCTAGTTTGTTTTGAAGGAAAACACGTATCCTTTCAAGAGCAAGGTAGAAAGTCATCCCTTTCAGCCGTTGAGAAAGTCCACAGGTTGATGGTTCCTTCCATGTGCGAGCTACGCACCGTTTAGCGTCCACAAAGCAAGCATTGAGCAGAAACCTTACATTCTTGGAAGTTACAAAGTCATGAGGGTTTATATTCAGGATACACAATGTATGATCAAGAGGTACCTCTTTGCCAATAACCACAGCTCTAACACCCTTTGCCTAAAGGAGAGTGTTTGTGGGCACTCCCACATACAGTGAAAGAGCGACCCCTTCAGGTTGTTACATGTAATGCATGTATCAGGAATATCAGGATTAAAGTGGTGCAACCTAGCCGGAGTAATGTACTGTCTGGTTAGCCATTCATGCTGTAGTCATTTGGAGTGTGTGTTCGTTGTTTGAGTTTGAGCCAAGGAGCAAGCCTTTGACCATTCCTCCTGTTATATTTAGTTTTAAGTCCAATTTCCAGGCCTTCACGATATAGCTTGAGGATTCTTTACATTCATTTGCAAACAGATTGTAATAAGGACACTTGACCCCTGGCTTCATGATGTTTCAAAGCGATGTTTTCTAAAGTGGACAGAGGGGGAAGCTCTAAGCTGCCCTGGCAGGACCTTATAAAACTCGGGAGTCGGAGATATTTAAAAAAGTGCTTTGCAGGAATTCCACATGTGGTTCTGAGCTCTTCAAATGACATACACGTAGCTTCTTTATAAATGTCCGACACCTTAGCAATACCTTTGGTAGCCCAGATGTTAAAGCCTGGATCTGCCCTGCGTGGCCGAAATCCATCATCACCAAACATCTGTGAGATTAGATTCTGTGTCTCACCAGAGTATGTCAGAACACTGAGACAAACCACCATCGTGTTTTTGAGCAAGGAGTTCCTTGTCTGTTTAATTAACTTTCTTTTATCTGCTGAGTAAATATAAAGGTTAATGGGCACAGCAAGCGACAGGGATTCCATTGTGACCCATGCAGGAGGGTGGTCCTTCACTAAATAAAACAGTCCTGCCCTAATTTGAGCCGCCCAATAATACCAGGTGAGATTCGGTAATTGTAGTCCACCTCTATCGTATGGCAAATATATCAAAGAGAGCCTAAGTCTTGGACGTTTATTATTCCAAATGAAGTGTGAAAAAGTTTTCTTTAAAAGTTTAAAAAAGGAAGATGGTGGGGAAAGTGGAATCGATTGGAAAAGGTTTGGGTAAAATTGTCATTTTGAGAACGTTGATGCGTCCAACCAATGAGATGGGTAATTGAATCTGTCTATTGATCGACTGTATAACTGCATCTGTGAGCTGGTTGTAATTATTCATCCACAGAAAACACACTGGACGCTGCACTAGGTCAGAAACCAGAGGAGACTGTGAGGTCCACCGCAGACGGACCACTTTTGGACAAAATGTCCTCTCCATTAAAGACAGCTCTTTGTGGAATAGCCTCCCAACTGAGATACGGGATTGTCCCACTCTCAAAAGTTTAAAGGTCAACTCAGAGAATGGTTGAGAAACAAACAGACGGGCAATCACCGCTCAATGCACTTTAACACAGGGGTATCTCCTCCTGCACTTTATGTAGCACTTTTATCTCCTCCTGCACTTTATATATCGAAGCTGCTACATTGTACTGCCTTGTGGTAAATGCTTGTATGCTGCTCATGCTCTTTCTGCATGTATTTCTGTTTGCCATGTATATAAATGTTATGTTCATAAATGTTGTATGTAACGGGACTACGGATGGAAATTAGCTCAAAGCTACAATCCGGCTCATTTACATTTGAAAGCATTATTTTGTATAAAAGGTTCATTCATGTGTATTGTCCCGGTTCAAACAAACGATTAAATGAAAACAAATGCTACAAGCGAGTTTGACAAATAAAAGAGTCTTTCTTTAGAGATGCCTCACCTGGAGTCTGCCATCAGGTGAGTAAATACTGAGGGGCTAATTGGGAAATGTGAAACAGGTGGGCAGTGTGGGAGTCATGTGACTTTGAACATACAATGAAGACTGAGGCCATCTGGTGGATGGAGGAAGAATTGCATGTTGGAGGTGTGGGGAAAAAGGAAAGTAATTTGGTGCAGCAGAAAAAGGTTGTTGAGAGGAATTGCACATGGGTTAAAAAAGTGTACAGTAAATGCATGCCAGAACCCTCTCGTTTCCCACAAAGCCCCAAAATCATGTGTTATTCCAAAACATGCTTGGTTAGCTTATTGTTCTAAAATCATGCAGTTACACTGATCACATGCAGACATACATTCACACTCACACGGTCTGGTTGTAAAGTCACGTTTGGTCAGGTTCACCCCAGAGTCAGTCATTGACAGTGCCTTTCTCAAGTAACACTGTCAGTCAGGGTCAAAGGTCATTTGGTCTCAGTGTTTTTGGCCATGTGTCGTGCTCTGCAGAGACTTTGATATGTCAGCATAGGCAGGTATCATTTGTCTACAAAGGCATATGCCGAGTGCTATCATTTATTAATTCACGATTACAACTATAATTTCCAAGATGGCTCTAACTTTTCATTGGGACAGCTGCTTCCCACATGTCCTTATAGTACTGCCAACCTGGTCTCACCAGAATGCATGACTCCACCACGACTCCTTAAAGGTGGGGTAGGTAAGTTTCAGAAACCGGCTCGAGTGCAGTAACATTTGAAAGTACACAGCCGAAAATAATCCGCCCCTTCCTTCAGACTTCCTTACAGAGCACCTCCTCCAACACACAGGAACGCGCACATGACGTCAGCAGACTGGTGAAAGTGGCCGCCTGTTGCTGGCGAGTCATTGAAGTACTGCTGCAATGCACGCCCAATGAGGGCACGAGATACATTTGTGCGTGCACGAGACGGAAGGCTGACAGACAGGGCGGCAATCCAATCCGTTTAGCCGGGCTTCCACAGATGACATTTTTTAATGGATTTGTTGTCAAAGCACTTCAGATATTCATTGCTATCGGGATGTTAAGAGCATTCCATGGAATATAACAAGTGTATCTCGAGCCGGTTTCTGAAACTTACATACCCCACCTTTAACACCGCAGTACGTGGTGGAGTCACGCACTCTGCTACATTTACGTGTCGGCGTATAACCTATCTACGAATTAGATCAAATGTAAAAGTCAGCCGAATTAGTGTTGATACTGCAAGGAGATGTATTGTGTGAAGAGAATTTGAAGATGTTTAATTGTTGATATATTTATGATCCACGTCAAGTATTCAGTTTTGGCGGCATTTCTTCAGTTTTTCCAAAGGTCTTGGAATTTGCTCCTGTGGGTAATGTCCACAGTATTGACTCTTACATGTCTAATATGTGTAATGTGTAATTGGAAAGCGCTTTGGGCATCTGCAAAAGCGCTCTAATAAAAAATGTGATGCATTATTATTATTCACCAAAATCCTATGGAGAAATCCCATTGCTTTTTTGTCGAGGGAACCCATGCGCAGCTTACTCCCGGGTAAATACGTCATCCCTGCACCGCTCTATAGGCAGCTGCAGTGTTCATGAAACAGAGAGACATGAAGATGAACAATAGTGTAAAATAATAAACACTTTTATTATAACAGAAAGGAATAAAACATTTTTACATTCAGTCGATCCAATTCAACATTTCTAATGCAGATTGTGCAGAATAAGTACAAAAGTAAATAAAAAGGGATTTCTTTACAATGTCTAACATTTCTAAAAGCACATTAAATGCAGCATGGTTTGATGACCTTACAGCTCAATGATAAAACAATAAATAAGTATAAAAACACTTTACAGAGGTTACACTGAGCTCTTTTCTGACTCTTGAATCAGATGTTGGAGAGTCTCACTTCATGCTCAGATTCCGACGGAGACATGTTAGTCCGGATGGTTTGTTTTTCTGATGAACTCTCCATCTGTATGGCTGCATTGTGGGTTCTTCTATTAGCTCTTAATAAAACAATGCAGGCAATAGTGACGAAAAAGAGAATCAGAAGAGCTGCTGAAACTCCAACGATAAGCCAGAGTCCTCTCAGACTCTCTGCATGTGGACTCTCTGATGGTCTCTGAGGTTCGAGCTCTTTAGCAGCTGTGGAAAAGGACAGAAAATAACATGAGGAACCATTTTAGTGTTAATATATAACAGGTTTAATCTAGAGTGAAAACATGACAATCTGCAACCTTCATTCTTCTGAAAAACATCCTGTGGTTCCAGCTTCTCAGTTTCCCCTTCTCCACTAAAATGAGTTCTGTGTGGGGCTGGTTTGGATCACAGTTGGTTTGAGTGCAAAGTTTTATTTTAAAATGAGTTTTGCACATTTGAAAGCATTAAAACAAGCCGTTCTTAAAGGTGCCATGTCATGCTTTTCTGGTTTTCCGCTTGAATAGTGAATAGTGTTATTGTTTAACAGTTCTCCTGATTTTTTTTAAGTTTCAAAGACAATGAGGTCAATCTAGTTCCTTTAAAAGGTCCCATGTCATGCTTTTCCGGTTATTACCCGTCCCCTTATGTGTTATGAAGGTTTCTCTGCATGTAAACGGTCTGCAGAGTCACAAACCCTCAAAGTGCACCCTGTAGCGAGTAAAACTCTAACACAGAGAAGACCTGTCTGTGCTGCCCCAGAACGCCTCGTTGGACATTTCTCTTTTTCCATTGTTTTCATCCTGGGTACAGTGACGTGCCCATATCAAATGGTCCTACTGTTGGTGTGTTTGGGGGTGCGGGGGGGATGCGGGTGCGAGTGGAGCTTCGCAATGGGCTGCTGCAGCCCACTCAGCACCCCCCCCCCTTCCCGCGTCCATTCGCGATGTCTCGCTGTCTCGCAGCAAGCAGGAAACCACACCAGTAAGCCAGCTCACACTGTCAGCTCCTCGCAGCAGCGAGCCAGTGGGAGAGCTGACCAATCAGAGCACACTGGGCTCACAGGGAGGGGGGAGGGGGGGGGGGGGGGGGTTCAGGAGCTCCAACAAGCCGTTTAGGACAGAGAGTGAATATACATACTATACAGAGATGCTGTGAGAAACCAATGTGAGTTTGGAAAATTGCACAATGTAAATCTATTCTAGTAGACCTCAACAATGGAACTATGATCAGTAGAAATGGCCATGACACGGGACCTTTAAGATTTGAGCAGCAGGACTCTTTTGGTCTTTCATTCATACTTTGTTGAGAATCTGCTTTTTCCTTTTCCAACTGTTAACTGTTCAATTATTGGCGAATATGATCCAATATTAGCGGCAACATACTGGACGTAGATGCATTAGTATTTGGCTCTATGGAGCCTCTAGACTTCTACTGAGATTACTCACCAGTGACGTTGAGCCAGCATCTCCTATAGTTACTCCCATCAGGTCTGACGAGGATGTCACACACATAAAACCCAGAGTCATTGGTCCTGAGTCTGGAGACATGAAATGTGAGGCGTCCTTCTGGGAGGACGTCTTTGTCCCACTGGACTCGTCCTGCAAACTGTGGATCCTGAGACTCTGGGAGTTCATCACCTTTGTATAGATGAAACAGGACGTAGGGTCTGCTCTCAGTAGACAGCTCACAGTAGATATAAATGGATCTGAGAGAAGTGTCTGTTCTGGAGCTGAAGGTCCCCTCCAAGGTGATGTTCTGGTTCTCCTCTGCCTGATAGGAAGTCTGAGTCACATTCACTACAAATGTTCCTGTGGAGGAGACACAGAGGGACTCTTTAAACTGCAGTTATGTTCCTGTGGAGGAGACACAGAGGGACTCTTTAAACTGCAGCTTTGTTCCTGTGGAGGAGACACAGAGGGACTATTTAAACTGCAGCTATGTTCTTGTGGAGGAGACACAGAGGGACTCTTTAAACTGCAGCTATGTTCTTGTGGAGGAGACATAGAGGGACTCTTTAAACTTTATGTTTCTGTGGAGGAGACACAGAGGGACTCTGTAAACTATATGTTTCTGTGGAGGAGACACAGAGGGACTCTTTAAACTGCAGCTATGTTCTTGTGGAGGAGACACAGAGGGACTCTTTAAACTGCAGCTATGTTCTTGTGGAGGAGACATAGAGGGACTCTTTAAACTTTATGTTTCTGTGGAGGAGACACAGAGGGACTCTGTAAACTATATGTTTCTGTGGAGGAGACACAGAGGGACTATTTAAACTGCAGCTATGTTCTTGTGGAGGAGACACAGAGGGACTCTTTAAACTGCAGCTATGTTCTTGTGGAGGAGACATAGAGGGACTCTTTAAACTTTATGTTTCTGTGGAGGAGACACAGAGGGACTCTGTAAACTATATGTTCCTGTGGAGGAGACACAGAGGGACTCTTTAAACTGCAGCTTTGTTCCTGTGGAGGAGACACAGAGGGACTATTTAAACTGCAGCTATGTTCTTGTGGAGGAGACACAGAGGGACTCTTTAAACTGCAGCTATGTTCTTGTGGAGGAGACATAGAGGGACTCTTTAAACTTTATGTTTCTGTGGAGGAGACACAGAGGGACTCTGTAAACTATATGTTTCTGTGGAGGAGACACAGAGGGACTCTTTAAACAATATGTTCCTGTGGAGGAGACACAGAGGGACTCTTTAAACTGCAGCTATGTTCCTGTGGAGGATACACAGAGGGACTCTTTAAATATGTTCCTGTGGAGCACACACAGAGCGACTCTTTAAACTGCAGCTATATTTCTGTGGAGGAGACACAGATGGACTCTTTAAACTGCAGCTATGTTCCTGTGGAGGAGACACAGAGGGACTCTTTAAACTGCAGCTATGTTCCTGTCGAGGAGACACAGAGGGACTCTTTAAACTGCAGCTGTATTGCTGTGGAGGAGACACAGAGGGACTCTTTAAACTTTAGATATGTTCCTGTGGAGGAGACACAGAGGGACTCTTTAAATATGTTCCTGTGGAGGAGACACAGAGGGACTCTTTAAACTGCAGCTATGTTCCTGTGGAGGAGTCACAGAGGGACTCTTTAAACTATATATTTCTGTGGAGGAGACACAGAGGGACTCTTTAAATATGTTCCTGTGGAGGAGACACAGAGGGACTCTTTAAATATGTTCCTGTGGAGGAGACACAGAGGGACTCTTTAAACTGCAGCTATGTTCCTGTGGAGGAGACACAGAGGGACTCTTTAAACTATATGTTTCTGTGGAGGAGACACAGAGGGACTCTTTAAATATGTTCCTGTGGAGGAGACACAGAGGGACTCTTTAAACTATATGTTTCTGTGGAGGAGACACAGAGGGACTCTTTAAACTATATGTTCCTGTGGAGGAGACACAGAGGGACTCTTTAAACTATATGTTTCTGTGGAGGAGACACTAAGAACATCTTTGAAGAGACAAACTAACCAGAGACACAGGAGGAGAGGAAGAGGAACAGTGGGGTGAGGACAATCATCTTCTTCCTGTGAGAGGACACACACATCAGAGGTCAAAGGTCACACATTAGAAAATAAAAGCCATTTCTCTAATATCCGCCTGCTCGCTCCTCTGGTAGTGACCCGGAAATCGATGTCATTGCGCCATGTTGAAGGACATCTCATTTCTCTAAATGCACATCGAGGAGAGAGGAAAGAGGAGAGAGGAGAGAGGAGTCTCTCTGGAGGAGCTATAATCGAGGATACACTGATGTTTCCTCTGAGATGTATTTTCGGTGATGTTCAAACGAGGCGTGACGCACGGCCGGACTATTTATTTAAGTTATTTAAGATGATCAAATGTGCATCAGACTTTCTGATCTTTACAGTTTGTTTACTCACTAATCACATGTCCCCTGGATGTTAGGCTACTTTTATAATGTAACTGCTTTAATCGTGACGTGATGTTTAAAGTGAGAAAAGCTGCTGAGGTGAAGAAAGCAGAACATTGTGTATAACATATATATATATATATATGTGTGTGTGTGTGTTTGTATATGTCTGCATCTGTAGCCTGTTATTGTCTCATTATACCACACAGTTCTGCCCATCAGACATACACATATAACTGAGTGAATTTAAAACTTGAGGAGTTTCAAAATAAAATACTTTTGAAGTCTCATATATGAGCTATCATCCCTCTGTTTTTAGATAAGACTAAAACAAAAACTCCTCAGTATCAGAGACTTATTTCACTTCAGGGTGAAACTCTACATCAGATTGTCCTGATATTCTCTGAGTGACTAGATGGGGTGTCCTGCTATCCCCCTGGAGTGATATTAGTTTTTGATACTGGAGAGTTTTTGTTTTATTCCTATCTAAAAACAGATGGACCCATATATGAGATTTCAAAGGTATTTTATTTTGAAACTCCTTAAGTTTTACATTCACTCAGTTATAATGTGGTAGTTATACGTAGTTTGTTTAAAATAATTATTGATCACATGATATAGTAGCCTACATATTTCTTAATTTAAGTTCCAGTATGTATGAATATGTTTGGTATGTTTTTTAGGTATATTTTATATTGACCGAGTAAGCGCTCTTATTTTGAAGGCAGTTTTTCCAGGCCTCTACGCTCTACCGTAATGCAGGATATTCGCGCACCGCAATACAACCACGTGCGGGCTGGCTTGACTGTGCTTTCCGAAGTGGAGGCTCGCATGACCGCAGTACTTTACTGAGATGGAGAGAGGAAAGAGGAGAGGAGAGAGGATACTGAGATGACGTGTTTTCTGAAGATAAAATCCAGCTTGAGTAAACTGTAGAAAACTCCAGTTGCCAAGACAAACCCTGCCTCGGTGCCACTGTCAACATTATTCTCTCTGTTCATGTAAAGCGGAGGGAACTGCAGTGAGAAAGCTTCTCCTATCTCCAATCTGTCGACCATGGATTCGTAACATCATTTCTCGGGACGGGAGAGACACATTATAGTATAAGTGGCATGTCTTTATGATAAACCTCTTCTCATATTTTAAAATCTGAATACAAAATGCTATTCGTGCTCATGATATAAAAATAAGAACCAATATGTGCTTACCCTTCCAGCGAGACGAGCGAGACCACAACAAACATTGGTTCCCGCTTTTATATCAAGAGCAGATGGTTCCTAAAACGTTCCTGCATGTTTTCACAAACTAGACACTGGTACCAAGTTACACAAATTAAAATAATAATATAATGTAACCTTTAAGTTTCTTACATTTGTATGAATATATTCAATGCGCATATTATTCTTCAAACTGTAAACTGTTTAACTAAAATAGACAATTAAAATAGTTGTATGAGAATAACCTGAAAATGAAGTAGTATTTGTATGTACTTTTCCTATGATCACATACCGGTCTCTGTGTGCAGAGAGTGCAGACGTGTTTATTAGTTTGTGCACTTTGTTCACAGAAACTGCAGCAGAAGCAGATTAAACCGGGGGATTTGGAAAGAGCTGATAATATACGTTAGTCACAAAGTGAGGACAGTTCCTGTTTCTTGCAGCGATAGAGAAAAGAGGTTCATCTCAACAGGAGAGCGACAGAAAGCAGCAGTAAGATATATGTATTTAATAAAGTAGAAGCATGTGTTCTTACCTTTAAATAGTTCAGGCTGCAGAGACCTCAGTGCTGACAGGTCTGTTTTGTTTTCATGTCCGATTACAACAGGAGTAGTTCACATGGCTCTGGTTCACAGCTAGAGTTACAGAGGGGGCGTTTCCACTATGAACGGCAGATCGGTGAGCAGTAGCCAATGATATTTAAACGTCCTGTTGTGAATCCTGTGAGTATCTTAAACCAGTAAATGGAAGATTGTCTGCGAGGCGTTTATACGTTTTGCTTTTTACTTTACTAAATTCTGTTCTGTTCTTCCTTGTAAAGCGACCTTGGGTATGAAAGGCGCTATAGAAATCCAAGTTATTATTAAATGGTCAAATTGTCATTGGAGCGAGGAGTGGGGTGAAACTCACGGAAGAATAACATAATTCATTTCTTAAATAAAATAAATAAATACTTTGTTTCATGTCAAAATAAAATGGTTAAAATATTGCATGATTTAATACAGTTTTGTTTTATATGTTACACCAATGTGCCGAAGTGTTTGTGGGTTTTTGTGTCTTCATTTTGGCCAGGAGTCAGGACAGTGAAAATGGGTCATGGAGGGGTCTTCCAGCAGGACAATGACCCTGCACATACGGCCAAGGCAACACAGGAGTGGCTAAAGAAGAAGCTCATTCGGTGATGGAGGGGGCTAGCCAGGATTCAGAGAGGAGTAAGAATATTCTTTCTCTCACTGTTAAAATAAACCTACCATTACAATTATAGATTGTTATTTTCTTTGTTATGCTGCGTTCACACCGGACGTGATGCGAATATTCGCTTCGCTCTCAACGCTCGAGTTTCACCGCGGCTTACAGTTTGTTATATCGCGTAATTCAAAACAGACAGTTGAGGTTGTTTACACGTCCATGCAAGATCGTTTTGGTTATTTCTGTCCTTGACTATGGAGGAACAACTATTGCTGCTTTGTACCTTCTGTGGAAGTGTATCGTATATCTCAGGGAACCCACTCACAGCCACAACGATCATCTCTTCCATCTTTACAACTGATCAACAGCAGGACGTCAGAGGGACGTCAGAAGGAATCCCAACGCTGATTGGCTTCCGCGAGAATACGTCACGTGAATTTGACGCTCGAGTTGAAAAAATTGAACTCTCGCGTTTGACGCAGCCCCCTTCTATCGCCTCAATTGATTGATTGATTGATTGATTGAAAGGTTTATTAACAGCTTCTATATTGGGTACAGTACAGCTCAAAACATACAATTGTTAAGGGGATGCAGACCAGAGAAAGACTTTCGTCTTGTTTACATCAGGGTCCCCCATTTCCAATTCATCATATCAATCGCGTGATTCGCGCCGCGTCCGCCGCTTCATGCTCGCCGTCGGAGTGAATTTGCGTCTGTCCGCGTCTCTGCATTGACTTTACATGTAATCGCGCCGCCCCCAAACATCGCATCGCATCCGGTGTGAACGCAGCATAAGTGGGCAAACTTACAAAATCTGCAAGGGATCAAATAATTATTTCCTCCACTGTATTTATTGGAAACATTCCTGTTCCCACATGCATTTCACTCCAAACATGCACTTCTCCTTCCGTCCACCAGATAGCATCAGTCTGTAACTTTTCACATGCTCACCCTTTTCCCTTTATCCAATCACCCCACAGTATTTAACCAGCCCACCTCCACCTTGCACCATAATCAATGAAGCATCATGTATTTGCTTTCAACATATCACACACACACACACACACACACACACACACACACACACACACACACACACACACACACACACACACACACACACACACACACACACACACACACACACACACACACACACACACACACACACACAGAGCGTGTGTAAAATAGACACTGACCTGTCCTTCATCAGGAAGAAGTAGAAACTGAGCTCTGTGGTTATATTCACAGTGGATTCAATGAGTCTGTAGCTGCAGTGGAAGAAGTGTTCATATACTTAAAGTAAAAGTACCAATACATTATTGTCAAAATACTTAATTACAAGTTAAAGTCCTGCATTCAAAGTCTTACTTGTATAATACACAAGTATTATCAGCTAAATGTACCTAAAGTATTGCAAGTAAAAGTAATCGTCTATCAAGTAGCATTTTATAATTTCTCATTTTTGAAATTGATGTTTTCAAATCTTTTCATATTCCTCACATTTTCCTCATTGTAATTGGATATTATGTTCCTGCTTTAGTGGTTTTAAGTCCATCAAACACTGAACCATGTATCCTTAAAAAGTAACTTTTCATGAGTTTCTCAGAAAAACTGTGTTCAGATTTGATCCAAGAGGCTTTTTAGAGACTGTATTGAAGGTTAACAAGGTGGAGACGTTGCTCAACACATACACTAAATCTCCCTCTTAGCCAGAAACAACTGCAGAGGAATCTCGCTTTCCTTCATGTCTTGATACTGAGCCAAGAAACGTCTGTTTGTTCACTGAAGGGAGGGCATGTTATCATCCTCCTTGATATTTTGGTTATTCGTTGGTATTTAATTAGGCTCCCTTTTTAGAGTGCTCCCTTTGTTCGGTTGCTCACTTTAACCTGCGCCCTCGTGGCCTTTTTGTTTGTTCCAGCCCGCTTGCCTGCCATTTTGTTAACCTTTAATAAACTCTTTATAATATTTACCAATTCCAACTGGTGTATGTTGCTTTCCTCATCTCCTAGTGGGGACGTAGCAGCCACACACACTTCTCACTGTCTCCTCACAGGAACTACAGGACTGAGCGCAAACTGTTGAACCACATGTTTGAAGTTATTCTTTGGAAATTGTATATCGTCATCTCAGTAGTGCAGCATCCTACCAGAGTAAATATAGGTGATAAATGAGAAGAAGAAGAACACTCTTTTGGGGGACCACAAAGTAACAGAAGCAGTCATATGAAACTGTATACAGATCATTCGCGGTTTGTGACTTCAGGAAACACAATAACATCTTTCTCAGCTCAGAAAGTGGAACTGTGGATTCACTAAATCAAGTGTAGTGCTTTAATAGTGCTATGTTCGTCTGAGTTATCTCATTAATAAATGTATTTGTTGACTTTGAGATCGTAGCCTTTCATTCTTGGACATAGCAGTTTATCAAACTGATATATAAACGAGGGTCTTACAGTCCACTAGTCAGACAGGACTCGCACTTGACTTTTAAGAAACATATTAAGAAAGTATCAAATACCATTAAATTCAACTTGCAACATTTTAAACAAATTAGTCCTTTCTTAACTGTCAATGCTGCAAAGTCAGACCTCCACTGATTCTATCCCACATTGAATACTGTTTGACAAACTGGTCGTTTGCTTGAGCCACAAACCTGAAACCCATAGAACAGCTGTTCAAGAGAGCTATCAAGGTGTTTGACAGAAAGCCTCATTCATACCACCACTGTACCATCCTGGAGAAACACCATTTCTTGAGTTTTGACCATTTTAAGTTTTTTAAAAGTATGTGTTTTATTTATAAATGTTTACATGGACTGCCCCCCCCCCCCCCCCTCACTTAGGGGGGAAAAAAAACCACGGCAGCGGTTGAGTCACCTGCAATGACTGAAGGTCTGACGATGTGCTGTGATTGGCTTCGAATAGAGACGACAGTGAGCGTAGTCAAATGGAAATGTGTGAATGACAGATTAGAAAGACCGTCTTCCTGCTGAGCTTGCACTGAGCTTCATGTGTTGAGAAACTTCTCCTCCTTGTTAACCTTGAAACGCCTCTTGGATCAGCCTCGTCACAAATCTGAACACAGGTTTTTTAGAGATACAAACATATGATGATCTTAAAGAATATGAAACACTGCTGCAGATCAAACTAGAGCCAACAGGTTATAGTTTACTTGAGTCATTTAACTACACAAACTTGAAGTACATTTTACTGCCTGATCAGGACTTTTTCTTTAAATACATTTACAGAAAAGTAATTTTACTATTACATTTTACTACTACTATATTTTACTGGACAATCACTGCTTTGACCTTCAGTACGCTAACTAGATTTGAATGGAAAATACATTTACTTTAAGTTCTTTAGTTTTTGCTACACAGTCAAAAGCTTCACTTTGAAAGAAATCTTTATCAGCTTCCTAAATCAAGTTGAGTGCTTTAATAGTGCTATGTTCATCTGAGTTCTCTCATTAATACATGTATTTGTTGACTTTGAAACCGTGGCTTTTCATTACAGGCTGATATTTGGGGATCTTAGACATGACAGTATATCAACTCTGATATAAAAGCGCAAGGTAAAAGCGTCTTACAGTCCACTAGTCAGACAGAGAACAGCAGGTTTTTAATAAGGGACTCCAGCAGACAGACAGCTCTGAGGCCAATGAGATAGAAACATGACATCTAACAGTCACATCAGTAAATGAGACTCCATACGTCCCCCATGTAACATCTGTAAAGTGTTATATATATTTATTTATTTCAGTCACGGTGAGTTTCATCATTTGGCTGTAAGGTCATTGATCCTTCTTCTTCTTCTTTAACTATACGTGTTGAACGTTATTTAAACCACTGGTTTACAGGGTTTCTGGGGACTTTCTCTCCTCCCCTACAGCCTGATTCCTGAAGTATAAGAATATATGCAAAGTGAATGCTTCACACCAGGACAGGAAGTGTACATCAGACCACAGAAAACAGCAGGAACTTCCCCTTCTGATTCTGCATCAAGACAGCCTCGTTGAAACACCAACTAGCTTCATCGGACATATTCACCATGATATGGCAGCTCTGTCAGCACTGAGGTCTCAAATATGTACAGGTAAGAGCACATGTTTCTACTTTATTAATTAAATGTCTCTTACTGCTGCTTCCTGTCGCTCTCCTGTTGAACCTCTTATAGAGAACAGGCACCACATTAAACTAAATAAGAGAACGAGTTGGAAAGATATTGACTCAGAAACGTTGTTCAAACCCAAACTGTGCCTCTGGTTCACTCCTGAAAGAAAGAGAACGAGCTCTGCCTAATGTCTGAATCGCATGAGACACAATAGATAAATTAAAACATATTTAATTAACGCTTTGTTCTACATTTAAATGCCAAAAAGGACTTTACACATCAAGGGTGACCTTTTCTGTTGGTGGATAAACAACTAGAAACTTGGATGAGTGCTTCGTGGGGAAGAGTTTTCAGCTTCTTGTGGGCGGCTCAAATTACCAAATCCTCCCGGAGACACTCCCACCGTGTACCTACAGCAGGAAGGACAACATCTGTCTGAAACAGCAATGTCCTCACTTTGTGACTAACGTGTATCACCGGCTTTCTCTTTTTTTATTAAGCTCTTTCCAAATCCCACGGTTGAATCTGCTTTTGCTGCAGTTTCTGTGAAACCAGTTAAATGGGCTGACGAGAGAGAGGCGCTCCAGAATTGACGTGGCAACTCACCCATGCAGTCTCACCGAGGCTGCTGTGACTTGTGATGTGAATCATCCGGCCGAAACTCCAAATAAATCATCAGCGTTTGACATCAAAGCTCCTGCTCTACCGTGTCTCTCTCCTGAGTCGGTGACTCCCACTGCATTGCTACACAGAAGTTTCCCTTACAGTCTACACAGAGACCGGTATGTGATCATAAGAAAAGTACATAAAAATACTACTTCATTTTCAGGTTATTCTCATACAACTATATTAATTGTCTATTTTAGTTAAACAGTTTACAGTTTGAAGAATAATATGCGCATTGAATATATTCATACAAATGTAAGTAACTTAAATATGGGATTAGTTTTGTATCATAAAGATAAAGCAACACTTTCTCAGAATAAAGCAAAACTGTGAGTTTAAAAGAAAAAAAAAACTAAGTCAAGCAAAATAAAATTAATTTGAAAAATAAGTTGCAAATAAATCATTTTTGATTTACACGGACCACTATTGTTTCTACACGGACCACTATTGCGGTAAGCATGTTGTAACTTCCGGTTGTTGTCATCTCCGGGTATCCCGTGTGCCTGTTCTGTTGCTGATAGCTTATTATCTTAACTTAATCGATCGTTTTAAAACTCTTGATCACGGCAACTGCCTGACGTTGTAATCACACGTTACTACAGCTTAAGCACTCACAACTCTCCTTCTCTTAGCGACTGTAACTCCACAGTTGCCTACACTCTTTTCGGGTTTGCTAACGGTAGCTACTTTAGCTTGATAGCCAGCCATGGCTCTTTCCCCACCCTCGGGTGCTATTTCCTGCTCTAACTGTCTCATGTTTGGTTACTTCCCTACCTCCTTTACTGGTACCGGTACATGTGTTAATGTAGTATAGTTGTTAGGTTGGAGGCGGGAATCATAGCCATAGAAGCCCGGCTCCGCATCTTAGAAAGTAACTCAGCTACAGTAAAGCCCATGTTAGCCGGTGCGGACCGGCAAAAGGTAGCTCCTATTAGCCGTCCCCCGGCAACTCCCGAGCAGCAGGGAGACTGGGTGACTGTTCAGAAGGGGCATAACGCGAAACCCGCAGGTCCCCACCAACCCGTTCACGTATCTAACAGATATTCCCCACTCAGCGAGACACCCGCTGAGAAGCCAACTCTGGTTATTGGTAGCTCTATTATGAGACACGTGAATTTAGAGACCGAAGCCTCCACAGTCACATGCATTCCGGGGGCCAGAGCGGGCGACGTTGAGGCGCATCTTAAACTGCTAGCTAAACATAAACATAAATACAGTAGGATTGTTATTCACGTCGGTGGTAATGATGTTCGTGTACGCCAATCAGAATGCACCAAACTTAATCTGGAGTCGGTGTGTAGTTATGCTAAAACAATGTCGGACACCGTAATCTTCTCTGGTCCCCTCCCCAATCTGATCAATGATGACATGTATAGCCGCATGTCATCATTTCAGCGCTGGTTGTCTTGGCACAAAGTTCACAGCCTCAATCCTGCTGTTCTCCTTGAACACATCCTGCAGCCACAAATATCGTTTGAGATTCTGACACAAACCTCCCAGGTGGGCGGGACTTTCAGGGGTGCGTCCCCATTGGCTCCTCAGCTTTTGAGTGACAGCCCACTACACCACAGATCATACAGTGCAACTCATGCAGCAAACTCCGGAGTCCACTCGGCCACGTTAGTGTCGGTGTCTCCTGGGGGGTTTTCATGGACATATCGGATTTATCTTATGGATTGCAGTGCATTATACTTGTGTTGTGTAGTTTATACTTTATTCCAACTTTAAATATTTTAATACCTGAACACACTGCTGCTGTTAAATAATTTCCCAATTTGGGATTTATAAATTGTTTGTCTATTTATTTTATAGATTAAAAAAACACATCTATGTATTTTTAAGCTTAAGGTGATACACAATATAAACTGTATACTATTATTTTTTAAAGACATGTTACATTTCAAAAGCATATATTGCTATGTTTAGGACAAACAATTAAAGACTGCTTTAGAGCTGAAGCGTTCATACACAATGGATAAAACCGGTGTTGTTTAATTCTATATCCTGTGAGAAAATTATATACATTTAGTATAGGGCTGGGCGATTTGGCCTAAAAATAAAATCGCGATTTTTTTCTAACTAATGGACAATTTTCGATTTAAACCTCGATTTGTTTCTGTTTTTTTCTAAACAAACCAGACCAAGGCAACATTTAAATACATATTTTATTTATTAACACAATACAAATAAATGAGATTACCAAGTAGTCTAGGCCTATGTGAACAAATCAGTTGTTCAAGAATAAAAATAATAAAATAAAACAGCACCACGGCACTTGGCTGTCATTAATGTGCAAAGATTTTTTTTAAATCAAACTGGAAAAAAAATCTCTTTTAGGCCATCCCTGAAAAAACTTGATAAATAATGATAATGAAATGAATAATAAAAAAATACCCTCAAACAAAATAACATCCCTTTAACTTTCTAGGAAGTTGTCTACATGTTTTTCGCGAGGAAGACAAGCCTGTCTACTGCCTCTGGCTTGAGGCATGCTCTTTGGCATGTTACAATGTTACCCCCCGTACTGAAAACCCTCTCCGAAGGGTGGCAGGAATGGAGAGATATTTCTTGGCCAGATTACTCAGTCTTGGGAAGTTAGCTTCATGGTCTTCTGTCCATGCTCAGCTAGCTACCGCACCGCAGCTGCCTTCACTGTACAATCGCTGGAGGACTGGGCTGTCACTCAAAAACTGAGTAGCCAATGGGGACGCACCCCTGAAAGTCCCGCCCACCTGGGAGGTTTGTGTCAGAATCTCAAACAAAAAATGAGGGAGCGCAAAAGAGAGTGCTGCAGCGAGAGCTAAAGTCTGATCATTGAGAAAGAAGAAACAAGAACTGCAAACAAAAACCTATGTTAAAACAAAGAAAAAATACTTATAGTTTACATGATTACACAAATGATTTGTTTGCAACTTATAGTTTTATTTTTGAAATGTATTTTATTTTGCTTGAGTTTTTTTTTCTTTTAAACTCATAGTTTTGCTTTATTCTGAAAAAGTGTTGCTTTATCTTTATGATACAAAACTAATCCCATACTTAAAGGTTACATTATCTTATTTTAGTTTAAGCAAACATTAGTTATTATTTTGATATCATGAGCACGAATAGCATTTTCAATTCAGATTTTAAAATATGAGAAGAGGTTTATAAAACAAGACATGCCACTTATAATTTTTCTGAATGCAAAAGCTGTCTCTTTCTCCCCACGAAGCACATTCACTATTGCTTTTATAAAACGGTTACCAAGTGTGGCAATATGAAAGAAAAATACACACTCTAATTTAAATAGTTTTTATTAGTAAATAATGATGTTCAAAATAAAATAGTCCCTCCGTTGCCTTCTGCTCGAAACATAGTGCGAGGTGGTTGCTATGCAACAACACTAACAGCTAGCGAACATAAAAGACAGAGAGCGTTGATCCATTATTTGGCTATTTATTTACATTCATTTGTATGTTGCCGTTTATTGTGCAGCCACTGAAAACCTGTCCAGCATCAGCAGCATGGCTTACGTGGTTACTTGTATAGGTTGAGGTTGTTCTAGGCTGTTGCTTGGCGTGGTCAGAATATTGCTCCACTTTCTCCGGTCCCCGAGATTCGGCTTCCAGCAGCTCTGGAGAGAGCTTTCGCACCTGTGGCCACTAACGGTCATCATGTCTCTGCTTTGTTTAAAGACCCGCATCAGAAAGCTTTTGAATGGTGGTACTTCTCCAGTTGGTCTACCTGCTCTTCACGCATGTCGTCGTTTAGGTGCTTTTTTTTCTTCTGGAGATAGACACTCCTCCTCAATCCACTCCTCCATAGTAAGACCCCCCCGGAGGTCGAAGTTAATCTTAAATGTTTCCATTTTATGCTTTGTTTGTTTCGTAACGGAAGAAATGGAAATATATAAAACTGACAAGTCAAATCAAGCAATCTGATTGGTCGATAGTGTTTTTGCGGACCTCTTTGATTACAGATTTGAAAACATTGTTGCTTGCTTTAAAAGTAGCTCAATTCATTATGTCAAACCTTGGAAAGTATCTAGATATCCCTGCCATAATGCCAAAGGAACTGCACACTGAATAGGCCTATGTTTTGCTGTTTGATGTCTATGTCTGGACCGCTGCGTAAAAAGGAGGGTTTCTGCCCGTTACTTCTCCGCTGCTTTCTTGTTCCAGTTTTCAGCCCAACGGTATACTGTTTTACTCAGACGCGGAGGGATACTGACTTGTTGTGAAAAGTAACTTACAATTCTACCCGTGGTATACTATCAGTATATCACGGCTAAGAACCAATCAGATGTCTTGATTTGACTTGTCCGTTTTATAAAATAACAATATTAACAATAGATTATTTGTATTATTATTGTTATTATTCAGAGAGATTCTGAAACTAAACTGAAGGGGTTCAGTTGGTCCTGTATTTCAGTCTGTGTTCTCTGATCTCAAAGCAGAAAGTATTTCCTGATTCAGTTCAGATTAAATATAATGTTGATATCTGGCGCCACCTAGAGTCAGACATGTGTTACTGTTTCTGGTGTCAGTCCTCTGTGCAATAAGTCATGTGGTAAAGACAGACTGTATGTTTTCTAATGTGTGACCTGTGTGTGTGTGTGTGTGTGTGTGTGTGTGTGTGTCCTCTCACAGGGAGAAGATGATCTTCCTCATCCTGCTGCTCCTCTTCCTCACCCCCTGTGTCTCTGGTTAGTGTACTCCTTTATTTCCCACTTAGACACATTGAATATTATTGAAAAACCTTTTGTGTCTCGTTGTACCTTTTCCTAAAGAAGCATCTTAGAGCTCTTTGGTGTGGAACACTATTAGAGCAAGAAAAGAGGGTCAACACTGAGGAGGGGGATTCTGATTTATTTAGCTTTTTTAAATCAAAATGTCAAGAAGTGGAGCTTTCAGTATATTCTCTGACAAAAGTAGTTTATTCTTAAAAGTTCAATGTTTATTCTCAATCATTACACTTTAAAAGCTTAACTGTTTTTTCTGATACATGTTTCCTAATAACTGCCCTCAAATTGAAAGATTTATATTTTACTCAACATTTTGGCTTTTTCTTAACATGCTGAATAAAAAAGTAAAATAGTCCTTTTCTTCTTTATGTTCCCTCATACCCTAAAACTCTTCCTCACCTGAGGAGACCTCTGTCTCTGGTCAGCTTCAGTTAGTTTATTTAAAGAGTCCCTCTGTGTCTCCTCCACAGGAACATAGCTGCAGTTTAAAGAGTCCCTCTGTGTCTCCTCCACAGGAACATAGCTGCAGTTTAAAGAGTCCCTCTGTGTCTCCTCCACATGAACATAGCTGCAGTTTAAAGAGTCCCTCTGTGTCTCCTCCACATGAACATAGCTGCAGTTTAAAGAGTCCCTCTGTGTCTCCTCCACAGGAACTTAGCTGCAGTTTAAATAGTCCCTCTGTGTCTCCTCCACATGAACATAGCTGCAGTTTAAAGAGTCCCTCTGTGTCTCCTCCACAGAAACATAGCTGCAGTTTAAAGAGTCCCTCTGTGTCTCCTCCACAGGAACATATAGCTGCAGTTTAAAGAGTCCCTCTGTGTCTCCTCCACAGGAACATAGCTGCAGTTTAAAGAGTCCCTCTGTGTCTCCTCCACAGGAACATAGCTGCAGTTTAAAGAGTCCCTCTGTGTCTCCTCCACATGAACATAGCTGCAGTTTAAAGAGTCCCTCTGTGTCTCCTCCACAGGAACATAGCTGCAGTTTAAAGAGTCCCTCTGTGTCTCCTCCACAGGAACATAGCTGCAGTTTAAAGAGTCCCTCTGTGTCTCCTCCACATGAACATAGCTGCAGTTTAAAGAGTCCCTCTGTGTCTCCTCCACATGAACATAGCTGCAGTTTAAAGAGTCCCTCTGTGTCTCCTCCACAGGAACTTAGCTGCAGTTTAAATAGTCCCTCTGTGTCTCCTCCACATGAACATAGCTGCAGTTTAAAGAGTCCCTCTGTGTCTCCTCCACAGGAACATAGCTGCAGTTTAAAGAGTCCCTCTGTGTCTCCTCCACAGGAACATAGCTGCAGTTTAAAGAGTCCCTCTGTGTCTCCTCCACATGAACATAGCTGCAGTTTAAAGAGTCCCTCTGTGTCTCCTCCACAGGAACATAGCTGCAGTTTAAAGAGTCCCTCTGTGTCTCCTCCACAGGAACATAGCTGCAGTTTAAAGAGTCCCTCTGTGTCTCCTCCACAGGAACATAGCTGCAGTTTAAAGAGTCCCTCTGTGTCTCCTCCACAGGAACATAGCTGCAGTTTAAAGAGTCCCTCTGTGTCTCCTCCACAGGAACATAGCTGCAGTTTAAAGAGTCCCTCTGTGTCTCCTCCACAGAAACATAGCTGCAGTTTAAAGAGTCCCTCTGTGTCTCATCCACAGGAACATTTGTAGTGAATGTGACTCAGACTTCCTATCACGCAGAGGAGAACCAGAACATCACCCTGGAGTGGACCTTCAACACCAGAAGAGACACTTCCCTCAGATCCATTTCTACCTTCTGTCAGTTGTTTACTGAAGGCAGGTACTCAGTCCTGTTTCATCTGCATCAAGGTGTTGAATCCCCAGAGTCTCAGGATCCACAGTTTTCAGGACGAGTCCAGTGGGACAAAGACGTCCTCACAGAAGGACGCCTCACACTTCATGTCTCCAGACTCAGGACCAATGACTCTGGGTTTTATGTGTGTGACATACTCGTCAGACCTGATGGGAGTAACTCTAGGAGATGCTGGCTCAACGTCACTGGTGAGTAACCTCAGTAGAAGTCAGGAAGTCAAAGTAGATTTAAATGTCACATCCATAGAGGCTCCGTAAGGCAGCACTTATAGAAACCTCAGATTATTTAACGTAGATTAGACCTGTTATATATTAACACTAAAATGGTTCCTCATGTTATTTTCTGTCCTTTTCCACAGCTGCTGAAGAGCTCGAACCTCAGGGACCAACAGAGAGTCCTCAAGCAGAGAGTTGGACAGGTTTTTGGGTTACCGTTGGAGTGTCAGCAGCTGTTCTGGTTCTCTTTGTTGTCAGCATTTGGAAAGTTTGTATTCCTAGATTTAAGAGAAGAACCTACATTGCAGTCATACAGATGGAGAGTTCATCAGAGGAACAAACCATCCAGACTAACATATCTCCATCTGAATCTGAGCATGAAGTGAGACTCTCCAACATCTGAGTCAGGAAAGAGCTCAGTGTAACCTCTGTAAAGTGTCATTTTTATACTTATTTATTTCAGTTTTCACTGAGTTTGATCATTCAGCTGTAAGGTCATCAACCCCTTTGTGTACATGGATATTGTTACCATGCTGCATTTAATGTCATGTTCAAATGTTACACATTATAAATGAATCAATTGTATTTACTTTTTCACTTAAAAGTGACACAATCTGCTTTGAATGTCCTACATGAGGAAATATTTGGAAATGTCGTATTGGATCGACTTCTTGGTGTTAAAATATGTTATTCCTTTGTGTTATAATAAAGGTGTTTATTCTTTAACACTATTGTTCGTCCTCACGTCTCTCTGCTTCATGAACACTGCAGCTGCCTTGAATTCCTGCCAAGTCTTGAAAGTGAAACTAAAAACACACGGACCAATCAGGAGGCAGTAAACTGAAGGGGGGGTTCTAATGCGCATGTGTCAGGGAAAGGTGACCAATGGGAACCTTTGCTTTATTAATAAGAGCGGACTGTTGATATTGAACGACTGCAATCAGCCAATCAGAGAGAAGGAGATCCACTGCCTGCTTATTGATGTGAACAGCTGTTTAGATGTAACATATGATAGTGCAGTTCAGGGACCAATCATTGAGGGATGCTGTGAATCCTGCTGTCTCCAGACTCATGAGATCTCTCCACTTTCAAAGGTTTCATCCGGGGTATCCTATTGGTTAAACTACAAAAGATACATCCAGGGAAAATGCTTTTTACACAGCATTCTGTGGAGAAAGAGCTTCCAGTTTCATGAACAATACAGGAATACAGTTTTCATTATTAATGAGAGTCCCTGTTTCTGTCTGAAGGCTGATCCAATTAGCAACCACACCCTTCACCCACACCTTCAGCTCCAGAACAGACACTAACTTCAGATCCATTTCTATCTACTGTGAGATGTCTACTGAGAGCAGACCCTACGTCCTGTTTCATCGATACAAAGCTGATGAACTCCCAGAGTCTCAGGATCCACAGTTTGCAGGACGAGTCCAGTGGGACAAAGACGTCCTCAAAGAAGGACGCCTCACACTTCATGTCTCCAGACTCAGGACCAGTGACTCTGGGTTTTATGTGTGTGCCATACGCACACCTGATGGGAGTAACTCTAGGAGATGCTGGCTCAGCGTCACTGGTGAGTAACCTCAGTAGAAGTGCTGTATTTAAAAACATATGCAGATGGTAGCTCTATGTGAAATGGTAAATAAATATGTAGGTCATTAACAGATTGTAACATTGTATGAAAAGAGGCTTTCTCCATGTCCACATGATGTCACTAACTGTATTCTCCACAGCTGCTGCTCAACCAGAGAGCTGGAGAAACAACTAGTCCACACATGCACACCCACCTCGTGCACGCTCCTCACCGGACACAGACTGATCGCTGCCTCCTTCAGCCGTGCAGCGTTTCTGGTTATAATCATTACAATACATGTTTTAATTCGTGGTGTATTTATATGTTGATGCAAACTGTAAAAGGATGGTTGGATATTTGCAGGGATTTAATAAAATAAAAAGCCCATCAGATATTTGTTATGTATGTAAACTGTCCCTGTTAAAGAATACATAATTAATACAAAAGTAATATATTTTTTATAATATTATTTCAATGTTATATTAATTAGGAAATAAACTATTAATAACAATTAAATAAAAAAAAAAAAGTAAATGAATTAAATAATATATAAATTGAATAAATAATGTAAAAACTAACTTCCACAGTTGTTGCTCTTTGTACTTCATTTGACTGAAGAACGTATAAAAGTGTCCTCTTTCCAACAAAGTCTGTGGAATCAAAGGGACGTACACATGCAGAGCTGTGAGCCTCGCAGTAACAGGAGCACCAACCAACGGCCCCATTGACTCCTATATTCATTAATAGCAGAGATTTCAGAAGTGAGTTCAACTTTGATCGACTGATTAATACTCCACTCAAACCTTTACATGTTTCACTTCTTTCTTACATCAGGAGTTTCAGCTCTAAGTGAGATATGAACAGACAGAGACTAAGGTTCAGATTGAACTGGAAACACGTGTTTGTTGAGGCAGTGAGAGTTTCACAGTAGAGACAGGTGTTATTACAAAGTGTTCAATCACTGTCTCCACTGCAGGATGTGAAATGAGGACACCTGGTGGACAGGTGCAGAACGACAGCAGAGAAGCATCAGCAGAAACATCTATCTGAAATACATGATAATTACAGCCTTCATACATTTCATTTGATGTTTCTACTTTTTTACATTTTAAATGTTTGCTTTAGTTTCATTCAGTTCATTTCACATTAAAATGTATTTTACTTGTATATCTGCGACCTTCAGCACTCACTGGATCGGTTCGCAACCGAGTGTGAAGCGGCTGGGATGAGGATCAGCACCTCCAAATCTGAGGCCATGGTTCTCAGCAGGAAACCGATGGACTGTCCACTCCAAGTAGGGAATGAGTCCTTACCCCAAGTGAAGGAGTTCAAGTATCTCGGGGTCTTGTTCTCGAGTGAGGGAACAATGGAGCGTGAGATGGGCCGGAGAATCGGAGCAGCGGGAGCGGTACTGCAGTCGCTTTACTGCACCGTTGTGACGAAAAGGGAGCTGAGCCAGAAGGCAAAGCTCTCTGTCTACCGGGCCATTTTCGTTCCTACCCTCACCTATGGTCATGAAGGATGGGTCATGACCGAAAGAACGAGATCGCGGATACAAGCGGCCGAGATGGGTTTTCTCCGCAGGGTGGCTGGTGTCTCCCTTAGGGATAAGGTGAGAAGTTCGGTCATCAGGGAGGGACTCGGAGTTGAGCCGCTCCTCCTTCGCGTCGAAAGGAGCCAGTTGAGGTGGTTTGGGCACCTAGTTAGGATGCCACCTGGGCGCCTCCCTCGGGAGGTGTTCCAGGCACGTCCAGCTGGGAGGAGACCAAGGGGTAGACCTAGGACCAGGTGGAGGGATTATATCTCTTCGCTGGCCTGGGAGCGCCTTGGGATCCCCCAGTCAGAGCTGGTTGATGTCGCCGGGGAAAAGAAAGTGTGGGGCTCTCTGCTGGAACTGCTACCCCCGCGACCCGACCACGGATAAGCGGGAGAAGATGGATGGATGGATGGATAATGTTGTAGCTGCTGCTCTCATTGGTTCTGCATGGTCTGCTGGATTACTAAAAACAAACCATTACAGGCTGCGTGTGAAAGACCAGAGACTTCACAGCATGTTTTCAAATGGAAGCTGCGTTGGTGTTTGTGTGTTGGTTGTTGACGGCAGTGTGTGCCCCCCGTGGTAAATGATTGCCCCCCATTCGATTTGTTCAAGAGCCTGATACATTAATGTAGTGAGTAAAAGTATAAAAACACTCACATTTCTTACTTAAGTACAGAACTTGAGTATATGTTCTAAGTTACATTACACCACTCTGTATATTTAAAAGATTTATTTGTAAATGTACAAAACAACATGGCTTTCAAACATCTCACAATAAACAAATAGGCATTCAGAATGAAAACAACTTTAGGTAGGTCTGCCTGCAGATGTCCAATAAAGCTTATTAAAAACAAAACAAAATATTCTACAACTACACATATTTACTATGCAAAACATGTAACTTCAAAAAAAATATTTGTCAAGACTGAAGCTGACAAATAGCAGCAACGATACAGAGACTGAGAGAGCACCTCCGATAGGAAAGATTACAGTTAATTACAAATACTGAATAACTTTACAAATGCTGTGGATAGACCTCACAGCTATGTGTTACACAAACATAAATATGGACCAAATGACAGGAGGTGCAATATGTGTTAAATATTTCAGAATGCAGCAGAGATTCCAGCCTATAAATAAATCACATTAGAAAGACTTTTGATTGGAACAGATTCTCTCAGAAATCCCATTTGGTCATTTTAGTTTATCTCTCAACGAAAGAGCGATAAGATGTACAGTATACCTGAAGTAAAGTGTCAGAGCGCTGCAGATCTAAAGAGTCAGTATTGTGCAGGAGTGTGAAAATATCTATAGATGAGCATTAATGTAACAGATAGTGTCGAACTGTTTCTGTTGGTCCACCTGCTGAACTGTTACCTGCCCCTGAGTCTGAACCTTCTTCACTGGCTGCTTGTCGTCTGAAGTTAAGAAGCACACAGCCACACAGAGCAAGTAGAACAGAAACCAGTGTTAACGCTGAGTAGAGGCCAATCCTTCCCCGTCTTCCTGTGTTGGGAGTCTCAGGTTTGTTCCTATTTGTCGCTGCTGTAAAAACACCAAACAACTCTGTGTCAAAGACATTTCCCTGATAAAGAAAATGCTCAGGTTCTCGTACTGTTAAGGTTGAGTGAAGCAAGCGGGACCCAAATGCAGATAACACCTTTATTTCAAGGATAATAATATCAATTGGACAAACAGAACACTCCCCGGTGAACTCAGTCACCAACAAAAGACGAACCAACACTGAACACAGGAAGAGACTAAATACAGGGAGGGGTAATCACGAGACGAGAAACAGCCGGGCAGGGGAGGAGAAACACAAGGGCAACAGGTGAACACGATCAGACAACTAGACACCAGGGAAACTAACGACAGGGAGGACAGAACACAGGGACCAGACAAGGAGGAAAACATGACAGGGGCCCTTTCTCATTTCATCAAATCCCCCTCCTCGACTCCTCGACTCCTCGACTCCTCCAGTAGTGACCCGGAAATTAATTCTACCGCGCCATGTTGAAGGACATCTCATTTCTCTAAATGCACTTCGAGGACTGAGGATCGAGCGTCGAGGAGGCTCTCTGGAGGAGCTCTAATCGAGGATACACTGATGGGTCCTCCACGGCTCCTTCGTGGATGCATTTCTGGCAACAGAGATGTTTCAAAGAGTCGTGACGCACGGCCGGACTTATTTCAGCCAATCACAGCTCTGCATGCATCCCCTGGATATTATTTTATTAACTGCTTTCATCGCGACTCGATATTTAGAGTGAGAACAGCTGTGAGGTCCGTGCAGAAAGCAGAGCAGTGTGTATAATATATATCACTCAGTATAACAGGCCTACATTACTCTCTGCATTTGCTTAGTTTAGTAGATATCTACAAACAAAGAGTCGATATTTTTCTAAAATCATTTAGTGCTTCACATAATAAAATACACAACGGCTGTAGCCTGATAATATGTTTTAGGAGCTGTAGGTGTGTGTGGTACAGTGTGTAGGTTACTTTTGGCCGGTAATTTATTTCCCTCATTGTAGCGACCAGAGAGGGGGGGGGATATATATCCAGTCTCTGAGAGTGTTACGTTATTATGAGAGTGCTCTGTTTGATTCTGAAATGGTA